ATTCTTGAACTGTTTTCCTAATTACTGAGCAACAAAACAGGGTGTTGTACATATTTTTTAACCCTCTTCACATAGCTACCTAGTAGTTCAGAGTTCAGAGTCTCACCTTCAGGTTTCAATTGGCTCCAGGCAGGCAATCTGTCATGTCTTGTTATCAGGTGGTTATTTATTTTAATAGGGCCTTGAATGACAGCAGGGAGCAAGCCACTGAACTGTGAACATGCCTACAATGAAAGGTTTTTCTAATCACTGTGCTTTAGCATTGTGTTTCCTGCGTGTGGGTTGATTTGAATTCTTATTTGCTTTGTACATTTCTTGGCAGTTGTGTTAATTTTTCATTTAACAATATGATTAATTTTAAGGCCTCCTGCAAGCAGGTGAATGAAGTTGTGGGAGCTTTTTATTCAGCTTTGATAGCACTGGATGTTATGTTCTCTTCTCCCTCATCTTCCTTTCATTGCTCTGATTTTTGACAGGTTGCCCTTTTAAAGTGGTGAGTTTAACACTGCTTATTTTAACTACATAGAGTTATAATCTGTAATGCTGTAATTAGCTGGCACAATGAAACCTAAAATATTTGATGCTGATGTTAAATGAGGAATTAATGTGGAAAATGTCAGTAATCTGGGGTATCTAGACACTTTGGTATTTAATGAACTTTGAAAGATAATATGATTAAAGGATGAGTAGGAGTTTGTTTTAGTGAACTCTTCGGGTTCCTAGTGGTAATTCTTTAATATCCCCTAAACCATCTTCAAAGTGGCATTTGCATACCTTCTTCATTGGCTCAAATTTTGTTCCCTAATTTAAAATCATCCAAGTGGTGATTTTTAGAAATCAAAGAACTCCTCCTTCCATCCCACAGGCTCCAGTAGCTTCGTCATGATTAAAGGCTTATATAGGAGTCCTTCAGGGGATGCTGGATATGTTTTCTTTGTGAAAGATTGCTGTGGCTGATGATATCTTTAGCCTTATACAGCATAGCTCTGCAAACACGATTGTGGCAGGTATGTTAAGAAAACAAAGAGCTATCACAATGAAATACACTAACAGAGTTACACTGAGATGTAGTTTAGGCTGTGAGGCATCAACCAGAATGCTTTGTGACAAGAACTAGGTCTCATGCCAGGTATCAGGCAGGAGCCCTGAACAACATACTGTCACATAGGCCCTTCCGGCATCAACCTGTAAAGCTTTAGGAGGCAAAGAAACCCGCAGTATAGCTGCTGTTGTCCATGTTCAGGGTAGCGCTTTAAAGACAAGCATCATGGAAGGCAGCTGCCATTACTGTCTTCATTATACCTACTGCCTCAGTACACACCCAACCCTCCATGGAACCTACCTCTACTGTACACATGCCATCCCGTGTGGTGCCAACTGCTGCCCTTGGAAATAGCAGCCCTAACCACCTTGGATTTTTTTTTTTTTTTTTTTGCATCCTCAGATGTCTGAAATGAGAACTATTTCTCGTTTCAGTGGTATCTTCCAGCATTTTTGTGGCCACACTTGTGCCCAAAGTTGTGACAACAGAAGCAGTTCAAATTGCAATGTTAAAGGTGGTGGTGGTGGTGGTGGTGGTGGTGGTACTAGTAGTAGTAGGTGGGTGTGTCGGTGGATGGGTGTGTTTGAATTCAGTGGTTTTACACCACAGAGGTTGCTGGAGTGGGTTTTTGTTAAATGAAAAATTCTATATATTTAACTAAAAGAGGTTTGTTTTTTTTTAAATTGGAAAAAAATATTTAAAAATTTGCAGATGTGAGAGCAACAAGGGACTTAGGAATTTCGAAATACTGCATGTACTGTATGTTTTTCTTCCAAATGTATACTATTCGTGCTATTCAAAATAACCACAATATTTCACACAAAACAGCTAGCTACCCATTTCACGTTGATAGTCTCTGGTGGCCAAAATTACTCCAGTTAAAAGAACCAAGTTCATACATCTGCCATTGTCATGGTGCATTCATCGTTTATGATACCTGTGTGCTGATCGTAACAACCTGTAGGATCTACCTTGATTTTTCAGGAAAGTTTTCAGAACTATGTGAACAAAGGGATTTACCACATTAATGTTATATGTTGTCATATGAGAATCTGCAGGTCACAGAATAACCAGGAAGGCCTTATCTGCTAACCCAAGCAATCTGTATCAGAGAAGACCAGCTACTACAGTGGCCCCCAACCTTTTCTGAATCACGGACTATTTGGGGAGGCAGGGGACGTGTGCGAGGGGGGCGCACTCACGGAGGGGAGGGGCATGCTTGTGTGCATGCGCGGACAGGAGGGGTGCTCTCACGGAGGGGAGGGGCATGCTCCCAGGTGGGGCATGCTCACCCATGCCGTGCATGCGGGTGGGGTGTGTGGGGAGAGTGCATGGGGGGGTGGGAGGCCTGTCTCCACGGTACGGTCCTGCCATGGCCACAGACCAGCACCAGGCTGTGGACCAGGGGTTGGAGACTCCTGATCTACTAGGCTGCCCAGTTCCAAGTGCAGCTACTGGTACACAAAATACAGTTGCTAGACTAACCTTGCCCATGAGTGAGCATGGTTGCCATTCCAGATGAAGCTGATTAATAGGCTTTCTTTGCCCCTGAAGTCACATGACTCTCTAATGAGAGTAGTGTAACTGACAACTACTTCGAAACCGTCTTTCTTCTAAGGGATTACAAACTCATATACAATAGGCAGTTTCCTCAGTTCTGTGCCAAGAACTATCTGCTTACAGAGTCTCTGACTTCTCAAGATTCAGCCTCAGTTTGTTGACACTTATCCAGATTAGAAAGTGCACTGCACATTTTCTCCAGGCAAATTTGTCACAGAACAATAGAGTTGGGACAGTGTTATCAGCAGGAATGATGGCACATTATCTCCACATTTCTTAATCACTGCCTCTGTAGGATATATATATTGATGTTAAAAACCATTATGTACAAAATGTTACCCTCTGATACCTCACAGAAGGATCATTAGAGCCACAGTATACAATTTCACACAGAAGGTTATTCATCGTGGTAACCAAAGCCAGTTGGCTCTCAAAAGCAGGTCTGAAGCCTGACTGAAATGGATCAGTGTCCCCCAAGATATGTAGTGAAAGAGTTTCTCCCCACTGAAATACCTTGTCCCCTAAAGGTTTGTAAGTAGTGGCTTCTGTGTTCTGGTTTCAGATATTAATTTTTTTGTGCTCTAGTATGGAAGCCTGGTAGATATGTTTGTGGCCAGATACTCATCAGTTGTTAATTGGCAGAAATCTCAGCAGTGAATTGCTGCAAGTGAACAAGTCAATAGAGGCATTTGCTGCTTGCACACAACAGCAAATGCCTCCATAGACTTACTAACTTGCAAGAATTCACTACCAAGACTTATGCTGATTGCATTATGCCAGTATAAAAATGTAATAGGATTCCAGTGAGTGTGTTTGGGATAAAAGAGGATGAGGCTTCGGAACAAGATGTGAATTATTGCTAGTACGTTTTGATGTGTTCATTAATTTTAAAATATAGCATCAATTTTCATATCTCTTTGTTAAATGATTTTATTTCAAAATGAATTGCATCATTGTGTCATGCTCATCCTTGTAACGTTATAGAAATTGTAGAGATGGGGCAATTATCTCAGTTAGATTTTGACTGTGATTCATTTTATGTGACTTGGACTTGGACTTATGAATATAGTGGTGTCATGAATTGGTAGAAAAATCATGCTGTCTTAGGAAAAACTATTGAATACAAGGCGTGCTTTTGTATACTTGTATGGTGATTAAGTTTTAGAGCAGCAGCATGCCTAAACATGGATAGACTTTTATTTCCTCTTGTGTGTATTAATAAGAGCCAAGGCAGACATCAAAATGGAGTGTGATGTGTAAAGAGTATCTGTGCTTGGAATAGCCGTTGACTTCTTGGATTGCTTGTGAACTTCCAAAGTCTTCTGGGTGACAAACCAGAAAGCTTGTTTATGCTTAAATATACATTTTGAATTATGCTTTACAATTAATGAGCACTTAATGCAGAATCTCATCTTGTTTCTTCAAAAGCATTGTCTCATCAGTTGTATAGTGGGTTAGAAACTGATGGCTTTTAATGGGGGGGGTTGATTTATGTTTTGAAGATTCCTTCTGTAGTCTAGTTTCTTTGCTACTTGAGTGATGGAGATTTAACTAACATATGTCATAGAATTCTGAAGCCCATTTTGAAATCCATGAAGTGAGGAGAGAACAGTAAGGACATGATACCATTCCATATGAGGTTTAGGTACCATTATGTTTTGGCTGGTACCCTGTTCACCTGATGCAAATTTTCTAGCTCTTAATACGATATTATAAAGCTGTTTCACACAACAAAGCTGTTGATTATGTAAGCCAGTGTGGGTCCTTTTTAAGAAGAAAGGCAGGGCAGAAGTATTTTAAATAAATAAATAAATACCTCATGTAGCACTGTCCAACTGAAATTCTGCTGCACAGCTCTGCATGTGCAATCAGAAATACAGCAGCAGAAATGACAAATCACAATAAAGAAATACCTCAGGTAGCACTGATGCAAATACCTCAGGTAGCACCCAGAAATTCTGCTGCACAGCTCCGCATGTACAATTAGAAATACAGCAGCAGAAATGACAAATCACTATTGTTTAAAGACTTCTTTTGGTGATTTTGGGATGCACGTAACTCACATTATATGCGAGTGGTGTGCATGCTTAGTCACCAAACGAGGCCTTTAATCAGCAGCAATCTGCTGCTACTGTTTACATTATTTCTGTTGTGCACATGGAGCTGTGCAACAATCTCTCAGCCAATGTGTGATAAGTCTTCATTTTCTAGGACTTGAATATTACGTGCAAAATGTAATGGCCTGACTTGCCTTCAGCTTCTAGTCATATAGGAATTGTCAGGTGCCACTTGGAAAATACAAACACTTTGATTTTCTCAATCCTTTTTTGGTCCGTTGGTCATTTTATGTGCTTGGGAAATAACTGTTGATCTTTGTCTTTTTTAAAAATTTGAACAGAAGTTGAAGGAATATTTGGAAGGAAGGAATCTGATCACCAAGCTGCAAGCTAAGCACGATCTCCTTCAGAAAACTCTGGGAGAAAGTAAGTCATGGAATTGCTTGTCATTTTCTCAAACCATCCCTTGTAATTACTAAATTAGGCAGCTGACTGAGCATAACCATCTTGGATTATCGATGCTAAGTGGACGAAGTCATGTTTTATGGATTCATTATTCCATCCCTACAATGCTTCTTAAGTAATGGTGAAAGGGAAGTACCTAATGAGCCAATAATGTGCATCATCTATTTGTTTAAGTGAAGCATATGCCCATTCATCCCCACCCCGCTTTCCTCCGTTCGTTCCAACATTTCACAGACTCAACTAAACTAAAGGAAGCCTTGCAATTATTGTTTGCTCCTAGTGTGCAAATATTCTGTCATCTAAAGTGCTTTTATCATTGGTTATATGTCGTATTGTCAGATCAGCTTCTTGTCACTCTATGAGCTTTATAGAGCAATTCAGGAGAAAGTGTGTTTACAGGTGAAATTGGGTAGTAGTCTGGAGTGCACTGCCTATTTGCACCACCAGAAATTGGAACGGGAATGAAAAGTTGTCTAACCCATGAACCAAGGTCTCATCAGAAATTATGTATCTGGGCACCCGTGAAAAGCCCATCTGTCCAGCATCTGGGGAGAGAGAATGCTAGATAATCTGAAATGCCGAGGTGCAGTGGAATTGTCCATTCATAGGACAAGGGCAAACTCCTAGTTCCTTTATTGATCTGCTTTCCATTTGGAGGATTCAGGTCTTTGGGGAGGAGAGTCATTCTAAACTGTAATATGTAACAATTCTCCTTTTCCCAGATTTTCCTTTAGTTCTTATGGCATAGTTGGCTGCTTTTAATAGAGCTGTATATTATTACAGTGCTTACAGTTACATGGCATTTTTATACCTTCAGAATCTCTGGACAGTAATGTGAATGTTCCATTCTGCTTTGCATTCTGGATCCACAAATGCATTGAATGATATTGGTTGTTTTAAATGGATTCTGTTCTACAAAAATTTAACAGAGGCAATAGGTGAATTTTCCAGGTTTGCTGACAAAAGACATTATTCAGCTATCATAAAAGTGGAACTATTCGGCCATTTCCTAGGAACATCCCCCTCCCCACGTCTCCATCTAATACTTAGGCTGCCCCTGTGATGACTTTTGCATTCCAGCATGCTTGAGCCTTCTCTTAAATTGCCTGCCCCTCTTCCTGCTGGAAGAGCAAGAGGAAAGCTGAATGTATTTTTGTTTGCTTTTCTAAAGATAGCAGAATCCCTTTTGCTTGTGTCTCCTCTATAACAGTTATGTGGACTGGTTAGAGTTTGGGTGCAAAAGCACTTTGTCCCTGAGCTGAAGTTATTCTGAAAAAAATGTAGATGCAGTTTTTGAGGAGGGCAAGGAATTTAGAAAAATGTATTTTCCTCTAACCCTGAGTCAGAATGGAGAATTCTGTGAATGGAGAGGATTCCTGATGCCACTGTATACATGTTGTTGAGCTGGAGAGTTTGTTCCTGATATATTCCAACAATTTTGGCACTGTTTCTGTGTGTAAGGTTGTTTAACAGACTGCAAAATATGTCTGGTTGTCTAACTTTGGAGGAAGGTGGTATTGCTTTATGTCCATGTTGTCGCCCCCCTTCTCTTTAAGGCGACATTTGACTCCTCTTGCAAATTATTTTAATCTGAAGATGACAAGTTTTGTTAGAAAAAAAATTACCAGCAAGTCTTTCAATCTGCAAGTAATTATGTCCCAACCTTCCATCTGCATTTGTCACTGTAATGCTAGAACCCTTTGATGTTGTCACAGCCATGTAATTTATACGTATGAATATTCTGTGATGGAAAGAGGACAGATGGTAAGAAACTCTGGTTTGGGATAATGTTGTTATAAATTATGCACTATTCTGGATAATTGAGGTTTATGTTGGGAGGGAAAAGTGACTGTTCAAAATGTGTTATTTATTTTCCATGATTAACAATTAGCCCCATTCCTATCACTTCCTATTTAATCTTGGACTGTCAGGTCAAATCCTTAGCTTATTAAAACAAAACAACAGCATTGCAGTTGAGAAATCAAGTTAAAATTTGTCTCAGCTTTAACACGTGCCTAATAATTTGTATGCCCTCTTTTTCACTCATAACTGTGCCCTTTTAAAATATTTCCAATGGTGGCACCAGGCATAGCAGTTTGGCCTCTTTTTTTCTGAGCTAAAGAAGGTTAGTGAAATCATTTTTCAATAAATACAGTTACAGAAAGCATCATTAAAACCATGCCTCCTGAAATAGATGTCATACTAGCAAGTTGAGCCTTTAGGCTAACAAACCTATAAACATTTTCAGGCTCTCTGGATGGTTTCATAGACTGAAAGTCTCTATTCCCTACTAATTCTTCTTTGAAGAAGGTGGGGGGAGGGGTAGGGTAATGCCAAAGCTCTCTTTTATAATAGAAGAGAAAAATTAATGCACCTCTAGCAACCAAAACACCTAGTGCTTTGCAAAGAAATAGTTCAGAGGCAGCTGTTTCACATGTTTCCTGGTCAACCACAAAGTAATATTGTCCATAGGAGCGGCTGTATCAATCATAATAACCGCTGATTGTTACTCTGATTGATACAGAATAACAGAGGACCCGAGAGTAAATACCGTGCCACATCTTTTTTTAAAAGAAAGTTTCTTCCAGTCCATGCTTCTCCTGAACTTAGGTTGGAGTCACATCCCTCTCATTCCTTCTTCTTGCTGCAAACTTCTTGATAAAAACAACAGATACACAGATTTATTTTTCTCTTAACAGGTCAAAGAACAGACTGCTCCCTTGCCAGGTGGGTATGGCCACAAACAGTCTTTGTTGCTTCAGTGTTGTACAATCACACATCTGCAAACACACTTTCAAATTCTTCCATTATAACAATGCTTCTCTTCTTGTTCAGCTTTGTTTCTAAAAACCTTGAGCTCCTAGCAATGTATGCTTCCATTTGGAAGCCTTTCAAACAAGGTCCCACATAGCAGACATAATGTAAGAATGTGGTTTGCAGACTACAATATTAGTCTGCTGAAGAGGTAACATTGCCTGTACAGTGGTGCCTCACATAGCGATTGCTCCGTATAGTGATGAAATCGCTTTGTGATGGACTTTTTGCCATCGCAAGAGCGATCACTTTGCGATGGTCCCTATGAGAAAAATTCGCTTTGCAATGATCGCGGGGAAGCGATCATCACAAAGCCCCCATTTTTGCACAGCTGATCGGCGGTTTCAAAATGGCCGCCGAAAAAACAAAATGGCCATCCGCTGTTTTGCCTCGCTTTAGAGGCACAGAAAATGGCCGCCCCAAGGAGGATCTTTGCTTTAAGGTTAGTTTTAAGCCCATAGGAACACATTGAAGGGGTTTCAATGCGTTTCTATGGGTTTTTAAAAATCGCTTAGCGATGAAATCACTTAGCAGCGATTTTTGCTGCACGGATTAACATCACTAAGTGAGGCACCACTATATTGCCCAACTTCCATTTTAAGCACAGAATTAGATATCCCATTTGGCAATGGCATTACCAGGCAAAGTTTAGTCATATGTATACATATTGTGAAGCTACTGTGATGTACATATTTCTTCAGCTGCACTCTAAATCCTTGGCTGGGAAATAATATAGGCAGAAATCTCTGAATAATATAGAGTGAGGAGAACTGGTCTCAGGAATGCCCCATGTTGAACATAACATGCTGTGATGGCTTGTCATTCTTGGAAGTGAAGGTGTAGTTATTTATTACAAATACATTTTGTTTTTAAATTTTTATATTTCATTTCTTGTAAGATGTTATAAATGTTATTATTACAAAAAGCCATCTAAGAGTGTTAATAAACTATTATCATAGCTATACCCTAATAAACTTACATAAGGGAGAACCTGCTAATTAGTTTATGTGTAGCAATCTCCCTTCATTTTTTCATGCCAGAGAGGACATGGTGCATCATTGGATTTATTTCTGTTGGGGCAGGAGGAATTAAAAAACCCTGAAACAAATAGGTGAAGTGCTTTAGATTGTTTAATGGGGGAGGGGTGGGATCAGTCATAAAAGGGTTTTCTTTCATGCTGACTCATTGACCTCATCTGATCTGAGATGGAATTGGATTGCAGCAGTGGAGAGAATAAATGTTTTGTTATAACTGGGCCTAGCATCAATCATACTATCATAAATGTCACAGTATATGTGGCTATAATAATAGAAAAAAATGACTTTATATTGGACTCTGATCAATGTTACAAATCTCCAAATTGCCATTCTGTATTGACAAAGAAGGCAAGGGGTGTGTGTGTGTGTGTGTGTGAGAGAGAGAGAGAGAGAGAGTTATGTATGTAAATGCATGCTTATGTTCGCCTACCATTCTAACAAAAGTAGGATTATTATTCCATATCTGGTATCATTATTTCATTTTACATTTTTTATGGCAAAGCAGAGCTGACAGGTCCTAATTAGGGTCTGACATTTATAATAATAAAACATTATTTATTGCAGAACAACATTAAATATTGGACTATCATTTATGCAGCAAGCTTAAAATATACTGCTTTTGCTGTAAAAGGAATGTGGCATTTCAGAGATGAACATTTCCCAACAATTTTTAATGGTTCTTGCTATTTATTTTTAACAAGATCCCAGAATCAAAAATTTCATTATAGTTCTTAAGCATGAGCAAAACTTTGTGTGTTATAGATTCAGCATCCATTTGTCCTGACAGAGTTTTTTAGATGATTCAGGGGTTTTTCATTAGGTTTTTGCCTGCTGCAATTCGTTTTGCAGATCAAAAATCATTGCAACAGAAGCCAAAGCAGACAGTAGACAAATTCATACAAAAGGTATTAGAGGTGATGGAAAAGATCAGTCTACATTCCAATTCCAAAAAAGGGCAGTGCCAAAGAATGTTCCAACTACCGTACAATTACACTCATTTCACACGCTAGCAAGGTTATGCTCAAAATCCTACAAGGTAGGCTTCAGCAGTATGTGGACCGAGAAATCCCAGAAGTATAAGCTGGATTCCGAAGGGGCAGAGGAACTAGAGACCAAATTGCTAACATGCACTGGATTATGGAGACAGCCAGAGAGTTCCAGAAAAACATCTACTTCTGCTTCATTGACTATGCAAAAGCCTTTTACTGTGTGGACCACAGCAAACTATGGCAAGTCCTTAAAGAAATGGGAGTGTCTCACCACCTTATCTATCTCCTGAGAAACCTATACGTGGAACAGGAAGCAACAGCTAGAACTGGTTATGGAACAACTGATTGGTTCAAAATTGGGAAAGGAGTACGACAAGGCTGTATATTGTCCCCCTGCTTATTCAACTTATATGCAGAATACATCATGCAAAAGGCAGAACTGGAGGAATCCCAAACGGGAATTAAGACTGCCGGAAGAAATATCAACAATCTCAGATATGCAGATGATACCACGCTGATGGCAGAAAGTGAGGAGGTATTAAGGAACCTTGTAATGAGGGTGAAAGATGTGAGTGCAAAAACGGTCTAAACCTCAACATCAAAAAAACTAAGATCATGGCCACTGGTCTCATCACCTCCTGGGAAATAGAAGGGGAAGATATGGAGGCAGTGACAGATTTTACTTTCTTGGGCTCCATGATCACTGCAGATGGAGACAGCAGCCACGAAATTAAAAGATGCCTGCTTCTTGGGAGGAAAGCGATGACGAACCTTGACAGCATCTTAAAAAGCAGAGACATCACCTTGCCGACAAAATTCCAGATAGTCAAAACTATGGTTTTTCCAGTAGTGATGTCTGGAAGTGAGAGCTGGACCATAAAGAAAGCTGACCGCTGAAGTATTGATTTTTTTGAATTGTGGTGCTGGAGGAGGCTCTTGAGAGTCCCTTGGACTGCAAGGAGAACCTATCAATTCTAAAGGAAATCAAACCTGAGTGCTCACTGGAAGGCCAGATCCTGAAGCTGAGGCTCCAATACTTTAGCCATCTCATGAGAAAAGAAGACTCCTTGGAAAAGATCTTGATGTTGGGAAAGTGTGAAGGCAAGAGGAGAAGCAGACGACAGAGGACGATGGTTGGACAGTGGCATCAAAGCAACCAACATGAATTTGGCACAACTGGAAGCAGTGGAAGATAGGAGGGCCTGGCGTGCTGTGGTCCATGGGGTCACAAAGAGTCAGACACGACTGAACAACTAGACGACGACGAAAACACTTTGCTACACTACTGTCCCACACTACAGGTGTACTTTTCATACTTCTCCAAATATTTGTTTAAGGTGAACTGAACACAGTGATTGAAGACATATTTTTGAGCCGTGAAGGACTAGCCTTTGGCAAATGTTGGCTTAGGCTCATGGAAGATTTACTATGAGAGAAATTGTGGGAATAGTCGTAGCTCTATGATTATAAACATTGCACATGCTTGACAGTCTCCATCATCTTAAAGCATGACAAGGAAGGACAAGGATCTACCTGATTCTTGCATTCAAGCTACATATAGATCTCTTTCATGTAGAACAGAGATTTCTTCTTATGATTTATTCACAACAAAGCTGGATGTGAGGGATCCTCTTCTGTCTGCCCCTTAGTTTGTGCACTCAGCCAGGCTTTTAGGCTCTGGTAAATGCACATGTTAGGAACAAAGAATTTTGGGTGGAAGGCAGGAAAAAACAGTTTGAGGTCTCTCTGTTTGAGGCCATGTGTACTCCCTGTGTAGAATTGCTTGAGATGACAACTGAAAATATGTTTCTCTGAACATTTTACTGACTCTAGTGCACTACTTCTGGCTATTTTAAGTGATACATGGTAGTGTTTTATTGATGCTTTATTGATCTTTTATTATTACTTTTACTTGTGAGTTTCTTTGAGATTTTTTGAAAAAGAAATATGATGTTTATTAAATAAAACAAAGTTATATGTATATTTTGTACTTATATCCACTTCCATCTGATAGTGTGGTTTCTTGTATGTACAATGAACAAGCAGATTGCTCTTTCAATTAAAAGCAGTTAGCCTGGGATTGTCTTATAGAACAAAAATATGAAATAATCAAATATCCACCCTCTGCTGAGGCAACTTGGCAAAACATAAATGGCCATTTCACTTTCATGCACCAACATCTTAGAACACAAAATAATAGTCACGAGAACATTGTGAGCATGTTGTTTCAACATGGTTTAATTTGTCACTCTTTTGTTGAGCACATTTAATAAAGAAATAATAGTAGAAGTCTGTTAATTACATACAGATAGAAACCAGTGTGCTACATTTTCTCCTTCATCACTCTAAATCATCCAACAGAAACTTTCTTACCTTAGTGTGATGTTGCCAATAAATTATTACTAACTGTCACTAGAATGATGGGGCTTTATAACATGCTTCTCAAAAATTGGAAGTAAAAGGTTAAGTATAGTGTTATGTTAGCTGTAAAGCTCTGCTGTGCCTAATTTGGGAGTTGCACTGCTTTTATTTTGGATCACTTGATGTTTCTAGAAGTTAGGAGTAAATTAGTAAAAATGTATTCCTTTCCACCTCCAGAAAAAAACATTTATATGCCAAGTGATCTGGTATTTTGGTTGTTAGTGATTATGTTGACATATGCCTTTGCTTTCTCCTCTCTCCTCCATTATCATCAATGATGCTTCAACATCACATTTGGATCAGCAGCAGACGCAGCTCTACCATAAGGAAGCAGGTAATAAAGACATAATCAAAGACAAAAGAGTCATTGAAGTTATTTGTAAGATTTCCAAGTGCTGTTGTACTTAAACCTTTAGAGTAGTTTCTAGCCCTTGAAAAGGCAAAATGATATCCATGTTCTTTAATTTGTTATAGGTAGTTAGCTGGCTTGGGGAAGTTAAAATTTAGACCAAAACACCATGGTGAACAAGTCCTGTCTGCACAAGCTAGAGAGTACTGAAGATACTTATACATATCTATATCTTTGATACGTCAAATAAGTATTGGCTTGATGCTACCTTGAGGCTGTCTGAGTAGGAGGTCCATAGAGAAGCCTAAGAGATGTAGTTTTTCTATAAATCCCTTATGCCATGAACTGGCAAAGACATCTTTCTGCAAACAGTATAGGTAGCTACTGGTTGTTGGGGCATAGACCACCTTTAACCAGTAACGAAATGCATGTAGCCACGCTTGGCATTCTACTGAGGGCGTACCAGCTTCGAGCTGCAGACCAGCTGAAGAGGCGCATCTTGACATGGCAAATATGGATCACAAAGTATTTGATAAAACGCTTTCAACAGAGGGGTTAAAACCCTTAATCCAAACAGCGATACCATACAACAGCTGCGCAAGGATTTTATGCTTGATTAGCTAACCACCCTGCACATAGTGAAATCGTCTAAGTAGTTTGCTTGTATTATTGGTCACCTATACTGCTGATTGTCTGTGGTAGGACCAGGACAGGGAGCGCGAAAAAGTAATCTCCAGGTATTTGAATTTTTTAACCTGTTCTGTCCGCTGACTCTTAATAGCCCAATCTTTGGTTTTTGCTATATCTAGAGAGACCAGTATTTTGGTTTTGTCAAAGTGGATTGTTAGTGAGTTATTTCTACAATAGCTCATAAAGGAATGTATGATTCGATGGTTGTTGTAGGTGTTTTGGGCTGTTTGGCTGTGTTCTGAAGGTTTTTCTTCCTAACATTTCGCCAGTCTCTGTGGCCAGCATCTTCAGAAAATTGAATGCAAACTTCCAAAGAATAGCAAGGAGAGACAAGAGGGCCTTCTTAAATGAACAGTGCAAAGAAATAGAGGAAAATAATAGAAAGGGAAAAACCAGAGATCTGTTCAAGAAAATTGAAGATATTAAAGGAACATTTTGTGCAAAGATGGACATGATAAAGGACAAAAATGGGAGGGACCTAACAGAAGCAGAAGACATCAAGAAGAGGTGGCAAGAATACACAGAGGAACTATACCAGAAAGATCTGGCCATCCCGGACAACCCAGATAGTGTGATTGGTAATCTTGAGCCAGACATCCTGGAGAGTGAAGTCAAGTGGGCCTTAGAAAGCATGGCTAACAACAAGGCCAGTGGAGGTGATAGCATTCCAGTTGAACTATTTAAAATCTTAGAAGATGACGCTGTTAAGATCCACATGTCAGCAAGTTTGGAAAACTCAGCAATGGCCAGAAGATTAGAAAAGATCAGTCTACATCCCAGTCCCAAAGAAGGGCAGTGCCAAAGAATGCTCCAACTACCATTTGCACTCATTTCTCACACTAGCAAATTATGATCAAAATCCTCCAAGGTAGGCTTCAGCAGTATGTGGACCGAGAACTCCCAGAAGTACAAGCTGGAAGGGGCAGAGGTTACTAACATGTGCTGGATTATGGAGAAAGCCAGAAAGTTCCAGAAAAACATCTACTGTACTTCTGCTTCATTGACTACGCAAAAGCCTTTGGACTGTGTGGACCACAGCAAACTTCAGCAAGTTCTTAAAGAAATGGGAGTTATTGACCACCTTATCTATCTACTGAGAAATCTGTATGTGGGACAGGAAGCAACAGTTAGAATTGGAAATGGAACAACTGCTTGGTTCAAAATTTGGAAAGAGTACGACAAGGCTGTATATTGTCTCCCTGCTTATTTAACTTATATGCAGAATACATCATGAGAAAGGCCGGACTGGAGGAATTCCAAGCGGAAATTAAAGATTGCCGGAAGAAATATCAACAACCTCAGATATGCAGATGATACCACTCTGATGGCAGAAAGTGAGGAGGAATTAAGGAACTCTGTAATGAGGGTGAAAGAGGAAAGCGCAAAAAATGGTCTGAAGCTCAACATCAAAAAAAAAAAAAAACCTAAGATCATGGCTACTGGTCACCTCCTGGCAAATAGAAGGGGAAGATATGGAGGCAGTGACAAATGTTTCTTTCTTGGGCTCCATGATCACTGCAGATGGTGACAGGAGCCATGAAATTAAAAGACGCCTACTTCTTGGGAGGAAAGCGATGACAAATCTAGACAGCATTTTAAAAAGCAGAGACATCACCTTGCCGATAAAGGTCCACATACTTAAAACTATGGTTTTTCCAGTAGTCTTGTATGGAAGTGAGAGCTGGACCATCAAGAAGGCTGACCACCAAAGAATTGATGCTTTTGATTCGTGATGCTGGAGGAGAGCCTTGAATCTCCTCCAGCATCACGATTCAAAAGCATCAACTCCTTGGACTGCAAGGAGATCAAACGTATCTATTCTGAAGGTAATAAACCCTGAGTGCTCACTGGAAGGACAGATTCTGAAGCTGAGGCTCCAATACTTTGGCCATCTCATGAGAAAAGAAGACTCCCTGGAAAAGACCCTGATGTTGGGAAAGAGTGGAAGCAAGAAGAAAAGGAGATGACAGAGGATGAGATGGTTGGACAGTGCCATCAAAGCTACCAACGTGAATTTGACCAAATTCCGGGAGGCAGTGGAAGACAGGAGGGCCTGGCGTGCTCTGGTTCATGGGGTCACAAAGAGGCGGACACAACTTAACGACTAAACAACAACAAAAGTCTCCCATTAGCATGGAAAAGTCCAAATCCAATGCTTTCCGTCCGTTTGTGCACACCTGCACATTCACTGTCCTCATATTCTCTGCTGACAGAAGTTTGAAGATATTGTCCTCTAATGGCTCCCACATGCATAAGTCAGACATCCTAAATACTCTTGAGGAAGCATTCATATTCTTTGCTAACTGTTTAAGTCTCCTGTAATGTATGTTTTCTAGTATGGTTGGCACTTCTTTTCTGCTTTGCCACATAGGGTTTTGCTATAGCTGAACATGCACTATGGTAATCAAATCTGTTGTGGATGACTTGTGGCACTGTAATTGTCAGCATAGCACTGTAGGTAAGAACTGTGATTTTTTTTCAAGGATAGTTTTTATTTGAGGTTTCAATAACTTTTTGGCTGTTTTGGTTTTTTATTAATGTGAGGCATCCAGGTTTAATTTCTTCAGAAGCAGTCTCTTTCTGTTTTGAAGTCAGGGCATCCAGCTCCATGTGTCTTTTACTGATGATAAAGCTGACAATTTGTTTCTCATCTTTCTTTCACATTGAAGAATTTAAAGACAAAATAGTCTTAGCCAGGTTTATTTTTAAATCTAACCAAACACACTTTTTTTCTTTCTTACAAACCTGGCCCTTCTGGTGCATCTCAATGTTTATTTTTATCCTTGTGTGCTATGAAGCTTTCTTTTGGAGTGAAATGAAAGGTTTTGTAGAGTTTATTTTTGTACCTATAAACGATATACGTAGGGAAATTGTAGCAGAAAATGATTGCCATGGTTTGTATAGGTGCCTGACATTTCCATGTTATATTAATTCAATGCTCTTTTAATTTCTAAGTGCCCTTATAGTGAGTATGTGTTCCCTGCCATCTGTGTATCCCTTTTGGAAACATGAATCTTAGGAAAGCAAAATATTCTCAAGTTCTGGAGTTTGCTGCTTTGCATATGTTTTTTAACCACCACCACCCCTTGGGTGGCCTAGAGAGAATTTGTATATGGTATGGACTTCTAGGGCCACAAATTGAGCAAAGACACATGCTGCACCCTCTAATGGGATCCCTTGTAATGGAGGCAAAACCAACAAATTAAGATAGGGACATTTTGTCCCAAAGAGCAGCATCTTAGCTGTCCTTATCAGAATTAATAACTGTTCCATAATTAATGGAAAAGAAAAGGTTTGCCTTGAAGGGGATTTATCCAGTTGTTAGTCCCAACTAGATTAGACTCACTGATTTAATGTGATTTAAGTTAATGTTGACTTACCAACATTTTAATGATCCACTGCTTCATAAGGCTGATGATTTCATCAGCCATGGCAATTTTTTGTAAATAAAACATTCCCAGTTTCTCCCCCAAAGTTCCCGAGGCTCCCTTCAGATCCTTTTCATTGTGGGGAAATTGTTTGGGGCTGAAGGTTAGAGGGGGAAGCCTTAATAACGCCAAAAAAATATTATTTTAATGGTGGGATGATTTTACCAATAGTGGTGATTTTCTGAAGTTAGACTCCTCATTCCCTCAGCCCTCGATAGTTTTCCCACAAGAAAAGGGATCCCAAGGGAACCTCGGGGACTTTGGGGGAGAAAATGGAAATGTTTTATTTCCCCCAAAATGCTGCAGTTGTTGACATACACAGCTTAGCTACACGTAAAGGATTTCACCAGAGTCAAAACGAGTTGGACTAACAGTTGGATTTGTCCTGTAGACACCATTGATGAGGGTGCTAAATGTGCTCTTATGGTGACTGGTGCTGTTGAACTGTCATCTTGCCAACTGATTCCAATTTACTGTACTTTCCCCCATAGAATGTAATATAGCAATGGGTGGGCAGAACACAATTCTGTGCAATATTGGTAGGAGGTAATGGAAGTTATTGTCAACTTTGCCCTCTGATGGAAGCCACTAAGTATGTAGCCCAGCTTTCTCTGCATTTACCTGCTCTACACTAGTTCAGTACTACTCAGAATTCAAATTCTTTATTATCCTGATGTGATGTTAGTGCGTGACAAAGATATAGGACAGATGCATTTGCTTTAGCATAGTAAGCATAAATGTTATTATTTTAATACTGCATAGTAAATTTTTAAAAGCCTCCAGGTTCATATTCTCCAGATCACTTCAATTATCCTCAACTAGAGCCTGGTGCAGTTACCCATTTCAGTCTGTGTATTAATTATCAGAACTGTAATTGCTTTAAGTATGCAAGTTATTGATGAATCGCCTAATGCAACAAGAATGGAATTAATCAAATGTGGCAGTTTCTTTGTGTCATTTGAAATAGATCTTGACATACAAATAACATGTTTAAATATCCTGTGTAACAGAACAGAGCATTTATTTATTTATTTTAATGCCAGTAGTCAATCATTTATGTCCTGGTATCATTTAATATTTTGATGTCACCTGATATTTTGATTTCTTGTTTTTGTAATTGGGAGAATGTGTAGGGAAACATTCTTCTTTCCAAGACTAACATGAACAATGAAAGTCTGCCAGAACAAAAGTGTCCATCCAAAATTGTGAAACCAAATTGTACCTAAAAACATCCTGTGTGCATTCTTCCTTTACACAACCCTTTATAAAATCTCATTGCTGGCTTTCGAAATGATGGGAGTAATCATTGAGCTAATTTGAAAGGGAATGGCTTTGTGAAATGTGCTCTGTAAGAATGAGTAAAATTCCAGCATTAGGTTCCATCTAGGCTTTTTGGTAATGTGTGCTTGTATGTATAATCTGCTAATGTAAATGGCATGTCAGCCCTATGGTATTTCCCAGCTCCCAGTACATGCATACAAAGAAAACACCTCTAGTATAGTGTATACCATTTAGGAAACTGGGTGATAGAAAGCAGGCCTCTGTTGTAGCCAGGTCTAAACAATATGAATTTCTGAACTGCTAATTCTAAAAGCTGTGAAACAATTAAACTGCTCTTTTTAGCTCACATTTTCTCCTTTTGTTCAGGATTCTAGCCAATCAATTCCCTTGGTGGTAGAGAGCTGCATACGATTCATTAGCAGACATGGTAAGTTTGAACATAAAGGATAAAAACAGACAACAAATGGTTGTGGGCACTTTTAATAACTAATAACATTTATTATGGCATCAAGCTTTTGTTGACCTAGCTCTTCAGCAACTGCATGAAAACATGCATTCTTCAGCGTGGCCTCTGTGAATGCACACATATGGGTTAAATCAGCGCCTGCGCTGGAACTTCGGAATCTTCTAGAGCTTTTCTGAAAAGATACATAGTTTAGAACGCCCCTTGCACGCATGTTCCATTCCTCCCCCCAGCCTCCAGTTCCATTTATCTGCCACCCTAAGAGCATGAGCTCAGATACACTATGAACAGTGACGGATAGTGGGGAGGCCGGGTGGGGATGTGTGAATTCACAGAGGTCCACTTGAAGAACCATGGTTACAGGTAAGTAACCTCTCTATTTTTTAAAAAAAAATTTGAGTTGCAAACATTGGGCTGTGATAAAGTTCATAAACCTGTTAAATCTTAGCTAGACTGTCGACAAGGCTAATTATTAAGTGGGTTGGTCTAGTCAGTGTCTGGAAAGGAGCAGAACTCACATGTCTAAGCAGGGTGAGGCAGCAAATTACAGGGCACAGCAGTGGCAGCCTTTTAAGTGGTTCCCTTTGAGCCTCCCAACCATTCCTTTCTCCTGGGTGATCTAAACTATCTTACTGTTACCTAGGTATAGTAGAAGATATCACTCCTTTACTGGTGGTTAATGTGAAGTTCAGTTGGCAGTCCAATTTTCTTCTGTATATACCATTGATGTTGAGGGGTGCCATATTGTCCTTTGCACATTTTGGAAGTCCATGTTTTCTATTCATGGAGGGCAAGTGCTGGAGTTGATCACATTACAATCAACTGTGAATTCATAAAATGTACAAAATCTCAAGTTCTCCAGACTTTTCACCAAGCTGGATGGCAAAAAGTAGGGATTGGGGTGGGGAGAAATGCATTGACGTGTCCAAATGTAGAGCCTGATGTTTTAAGCCAGGGGTCCCCAACCCCCTGTCCACAACCTGGCACCAGTCTGTGGCCTAGGCAGGACCGGGCCACGGACAAAGATCTCCTCCCCCCACCTCGTGAGCGCACCACGCCCCCCACCAATTCATGGTTGGGGACCACTGTTTTAAGCCATCAAGATCTGCAGTTACACTCAGCTCTAAGAGTAGCAGTTTGAAGAGTAATACAGAGAATTGTGCAGATGTAATCTGATTTCTGGCAAAGCCGACTGGAAAGAAAACAATGCAGTGGTTCCCAAAATCTGGAAATACAAATATAGCAGCAACCCAAGTTCCTGCATCTAGCCTTAGGTGAAACTAATAGGTTTCTTTGTCAGTATATAGCAGTATTTAAAAAAAATGCAGTCCTTATATAAACAAAAATGGAAGTTAAAATTTAAACTTCTTTGGAAATAAAAGCGAAGTTTAAATTTTAGGTGAGAACTGAGTAAAAGTTTGTTAAGGCCAAATAAACAATGTTTTTAATTTGGTTTTGGAATTCTGTGTGCAGCTCCTCTTAGGTGAAAATAAAACTTTTTTGTCTCAAGTGGTGAGTTGTGCCCTAAAGCAGAGGTTGTCAACCCCCGGTCTGTGGCCCAGTGTCGGTCCATGGCCTGAGATGGACCGGGTCAGGAAGACAGACCTTCCGCGCCCCCCCCTGCATGCACTCCCCCACACACACCAGCTTTGGCACGCACGTGCATGCCAGTGGCAGCACAATTGCTCCCCCACCACTTTGCGCATGTACCTGAGAACGCCCACACCAGTGAGAGAGAGCACGTGCTCCTTTGAGCATGCACAAGAGTGCGGGGGGTGCCCCACCTTCCTCAGCCGGTTCGCGGTCCCGAAAAGGTTGGGGACCACTGCCCTAAAAGACTAAATGTGGCATTTTCCAGATTTCAAAAAAAAGAAAAAAAGAATTAATGATCGTTCATAGGAATGTATTCCTTAATTGGTCAATATATTTATCAGAATCAACAACAAATCCACTATAACATTTGAAAAACTATTTCTGCTTACTGCATGGGTTTATTTTTCCTTATGATGAAAACTGTGAGAAACCTTTTTACTCAATTATAGTTTAGTAAGGCCACTGGGACCTAGGTCTGGCTTATGAAACACTATTTCCAGCACAATTTAAGAGTGCTAATTTTAACATTGAAACCTTAAATATCCGTGGAATAGATACCTGGGACACAACGTACAGCTATTCAAATCTATCTAGGTATAAGTATCTTGCAGAAAATCTGAGAAAGGGTTTTCACGCTGAACTGGGCTGGGGTTTGGCACTCCCTCCCTTGGGGGCTTCTCATTCCCCACTCTACTCTTTTGCTAGCAGGTAAATACTTCTGTGTTAGCTAGGGCATGTCACCTTCCAAGGTGGTTGTTGTGGGTTTTTCGGGCTCTTTGGCCGTGTCCTGAAGTTTGTTCTTCCTGACGTTTTGCCAGTTTCTGTGGCCGGCATCTTCAGAGGAACAGGAGTAGCTACAACAGTAGCTCTGTTGTTCGATGAGTGGTTGAGTATTTATAGCTGTGGGAACAGCTTTTGTCCTTTTCAGGAGATAGGGTGATGATGGTGATCAGTGTGTTTTTGTTGTGGATGTATTGGTGTGATAAGTGGGGGGAGAGATTATCTGTCACTGTGATTGATGGGTGTCTTTAGCTGGTCTTTTGTGTGCCATGATCCTTGGTCCTTGTGGCTGGATAGAGTATGTTGACCTTTTGCAGGCTGTATTTTCCAATGCTGGGAACCAGGCCTTATTAAGCTTTAGACTTTCCTCTTTTTTTTGAAGCTCTGTTGGTGTTTATGGATTTCAGTGGCTTCCCTGTGCAGTCTAACATAATGATTGCTGGTGTTGTCCAGTACTTCAGTATTTTGAAAAAGAATTTCATGTCCAGCTTTTTTTAAGCATGTTCAGTTACTGCTGATTTTTCCAGTTGTTTTAGTCTGCAGTGTCTCTCATGTGCTTTGATTCTGGTGTGAATGCTGCATTTTGAGGTTCCAATATATACCTGTCCACAACTGCAAGGTATCCGGTATACTCCTGCAGTGGTGAGGGGGTGCCTTTTGTCCTTTTGTTGTATTTTTGTGGTGGGTCTGAATACTGTTTGCAGGTGGTGTTTTTTCAAAAGTTTCCCCATGCGGTCCATGACCCCTTTGATGTATGGCAGAAATACTTTATTTGTGGGTGGCTGTTTTCCCTCTTCAGTTTGGTGTTGTTTTCTTGGTTTGATGGCTCTTTTGATTTCATTCTTGGACTAGCCATTTGCCTGTAGGGCCCAATTCAGATGGTTGAGTTCAGTGCTGAGAAATTGAGCTTCACAGTTGCGATTTGCACGGTCTACAGTGTTTTGATTATGCCTCTTTTTTGTCGTGGGTGGTGGTTGGAGTTTTTGTGTAGGTACCGGTCTGTGTGGGTGGGTTTTCTGTAGACCTTGTGTCCCAATAGGAGGTCAGTTCTGCGTATGACCATGACATCTAAGAAAGGGAGTTAGCCCTCTATTTCTTTTTCCATGGTGAATTGTATATTTGGGTGGATGCTGTTAAGGTGGTTTAGAAATTTGTCCAGTTTTTCTTCACCGTGGTTCCAAATTGCAAAGGTGTCATCCACGTATCGGAACCAGACTGTGGGTGTGGTGCCGAAGCCAGGGCCTATTTTTTGAAATGTTCCATGTAGAAGTTTGCTATAACCAGGCTGAGGGGGCTCCCCATATCTGATTGTGTATAAATGTCACCACACCACTGGTTTCTCTTCAGATCGTATAAATCTTTTGCCTTTGTATATTTTTCCGATATATCTAAATTTTGCACCAAGGATCATACTTGCATGTATTCTTTAGGGATCAGGAAGTTGCCATGACAAAGAAGCCCCCTTACCACTAAATCAGATATGCAAGCTTTCCTTTAGTTTTCAGATTTCAGGAGGCACAAAACACAATATACTGAAGTTTATCTTCAACCAGAATGGATATATGTATTTTATGTGAAGTAGTTTTATTTTCATTGTGCCGCTACATAAACTATAGGCATTTCTGCAAACCTGTAGGTTGTCACAAATTAAAAGATGCATAGAGCAAATGCTAATCTGTCCTGTGACACAAATTTAAAAGCAGTACAGGAACAGAGAAATATCACCAGTGACAAGAATAGTTAAAGTAAATAGCCTCCAGATCAAAGTACCGTTTCTTCTGAGACAAATTTTAGTTTAATCTCATTACAGCTAACACAAACATACCCATTTCTATGAAACAAACGTTTTTTCACTGGATGACAAATCAGCTATTTTCTTGAAATCGTGAATGTTCTTGTAGAAAACATGGGCCTGGATCCAAAGTTTCCTACCATCCATCAGAGGCCTTCCATTCACAAAGTAAATCAAGCCGATAGAAAGTGGAGACCTTAACATAACACAGTGCAACCTCTGTAGTTGTTCACCAAATCTATATAAGCAACTATTAACAGGAGTTTTGACATCTCTTTTCCACATAAGCTGTCTGTGTATCCTGAAAGCATTTTATCAAGTTGGACTGTAAAATTCAAACAAATGGGAAATTATAAGTTTATGAAGCCATACCAATCTTTGAATCACAGGTTAGCAATTACTGTTATCATATACATGACCTGCTTCCTTTCTTCCTTGACAGTCATGTCCTTCATATATTTCACAGGGCTTCTGTCAGTTATTCCTAGTGCTTTTTATACTTGCTTTTGTGATGTTTCTTCTGTAAACTTGCTTCTTTGAAAAGTTGCAATTTCATTTGATATCACAGGAAGGCACCCTAGGGCATCAGTAGGTCTGCAGGGCCAATTCCATCCTCAGAGTCACTCCTCCCTCCTCTTGACAACCCAGAAGTGATTGGAATTATACTTCAGGTTTAGAGACACACATACACACACACACAAAACCCTGCTGATTTTGATCATAACAAGGTGTCAGTGGGTACACACCTTGCTTCAGATGGAAATAGCTTTTCCTAAATATGCCTAGGAGTAGAAATCTCTGTTTGTAAACAGTACTTTTCCAGCAGAGGACTATATGGGGCCTGTGGACCATATCTTCTCCATTTTTACCTAGACCTTTGCAATATAAAATACTCCCAGAAGTCTAATCTTGTACACATATAATTAGGAATTTCAATGAAGCTTATTCCCAAATAAGTGGATACAGGTTTGCTGCTATGGTTCTTAGCATCATTATAGAAATATTGTAAAACTGAAAGACTCTTAAAGGAATTTTTAATAACACCTAAGTTGTCTGTGTTCATCACATTCCAGATGTTAAATTCATTGATCATTGGTAGAACAGTTTTCTTTGCAATAGTTTTTAGTGTATGTTGCTCCCCTTTTGACTGAATAAAATTTAAGTATAACTTGTTGCTTCCAAATGTTTAAGTATTAGAAATGTTAATGTGATTCATCTTTATATTAATAATTAGCTCTTTATAACACTTCATTTTAGGCTCATGTTTTCTGTAGAACAGTAGTCTGATACTGAGTAATAGAATCAGAAAAATCTTGTTACAAGGTTAGAAGCAGGTTATCCCTTTCAGGGGGGAAGTATGCTCCCAATTCCTGGAAATTGCAAAGTGAAAAGAAGTGTATCTTACTCTCAATGCATGGTAAATTCCACCAAATCGCTTTCCTTGCTTTAGGACAATAGAAATGAATGATGTGATAGTTGTGCTATTCATCTGAGTTAAAATGGCTGTACTGTCATAACGTCTTGTGCAAACAGAAGGCTACAAGCTTGACATTTGAGCTTTTATTTCTGTTTTGATTTCTCCTGTTTTCTTAATAGGACTGCAGCATGAAGGAATATTCAGGGTGTCAGGATCTCAGGTTGAGGTGAATGATATCAAAAATGCATTTGAAAGAGGTAAGAGACATTTTATTTTGAACTGAATAATTCTCTTTTCATTGTGCACTCATGTTTTGGGATTAGATGCGTAGAAGAATGAAAGCATGAAGTATTTCTTTCCAAAGCTCAGCAGCCTTTGACAACTGAGATCATTTCGGATTATGCTTCTTGTCACACTAGCATATACTCTTCAGATAGGGCTTACTCCTCTCATGTCAGGTGTATGCCGGTGCATGGCATTTTCAATCAGGCTTTATTAATGATTTGGTTTACAACATTTTTTACAAGGTGTATTAACAGATTGTGTATCTGGAGATACTATGGTTTGGATCCTATAATAAGTTAATTCAAAGTTCGTTTCCTGGCTGAACAGCTGATCTGGACTTTGGCACCCCACTCCCTCCAGTGGGGGCCACCTCAAAGCAGCAGCATCCCACCTCAGAGGAGGAAGGGTGAGGTACTGCTGCTGAGTGGTCACACACTGTAAGGGGTGGGGCAACAAACCATGCTAGCCATCAGTTCATGCCCATCTCTAGTGGAGATTGCGAATAGTATTTCCACACACAAAATTAACTTCAAATAGATCTACTCCAGAATTTAGATCCATTATCACTAAATCACAGGGACATTTTAACACTGTTGTTTCTTTATTTCTAAAATATGGGACCTGCATTCACCAGCCAGACCAGAGTGCTAGTTTTAATAGCACACAGCATTTTTTATTGAAAGTATCTGCCTACTAAGAAGAGAGTACCATATTGATCCCATAGTAAAAGTTCCCATCTGACATTATAGATAACATCCTACATATGTATTTAATTCAACTTAGCTATGCAGTTATTCATGTTAGTATCTATTTGGCCTTTGCATATAAATAAAATTTGTTCTTAGGGCTGAAGGAGATTACTTTGTGTGTGTTGTGTGGGAGTTAGACATTTCAGATATAAAAGCCACACTTAATTGCTAACTGATGAAAGATTTTTGGGAGTTGGAGAGAACAGCCAGCTATTCTAACTTCATTGCAGAAATAACACTAATAGTTGTAGTTTCATCTCCTGAACAGTTTTGGGGGGTGTTCTGGGACTGTAGTAACCAGAAGGCATTTGGTGGTGTCTCCTGATAAAACTACCTCAAAACAGTTTGAGTATTAAACCAGAGAAGTAAACAATATATACTTTGTGGACTGCTTGGACTCCCTCCTGTGATTTCCCCTTATTTGATGTTTATTTTTCCAATAAAGCATTTCATTTTAGGTTTCTAGTATGTAATGTTTTTGTTTGCTCTCTCCGTGGGCTTGTTCTCTTGTCACCAGGAGAGGACCCACTGGCTGGGGACCAAAATGACCATGATATGGATTCAATAGCAGGAGTTCTAAAGCTCTACTTTCGTGGCCTAGAACATCCCCTCTTCCCGAAGGAAATCTTCCATGACTTGATCGCTTGTGTCAGTAAGTAGCAGAAGAATTAAATTAATCAGTTGCCCTTAAGGCTTGCAAAGAAATGTAATCCAGCAAGAGGCCTTGCACTTACTAACTGAGAAAAAAGGAGGGAAGCCTCTATTTGGCAAAGTGGTGCAGAAAGTCTTAAACACAAGACAGTTTACTCCAATCTGTTTTGAAACACACATGTTGTTCTTCAGGGGATATGTGAACATGATCACTTCAGAAATTTTTATAATTGACATAAACAGCAAACTAAATTAATTGTGATGGTTGTTGAGGGGTTTTCGGGTTCTTTGGCCGTGTTTTGAAGGTTGTTCTTCCTGAGGTTTCACCAGTCTCTGTGGCCGGCCGTCAGATTCCGGCCGTGAAAGCCTTCAAGAATACATTAAATTAATTTTATTAAGAAGTAACCTTGTGTAGGATATATGAACCAGTGGAACTTCCTAGTCATGACTACATTGTATCATTGATTTCAGAGGGTGTAGTCTAAACACGACAAAGTCTGATCTGTCACTCACTGGACTAAATCCATTATAACGTGAGTTGACAGTTAGTTTAACATGAGTTGACTTTTTCCTTCCCTGCTTTTGGCATATCCACCCCAAATGTGCTCCAGAAGGTCTCTCAACATTCCAAAGCAGTTTTGGAGGTGTTCAGGGGCTGTACTGAGCAGAAAGTATTTGATCTACCAGTGGTGTCTGTTCTGCTGATGGAATGGAAATGGAGGTTTCAACTCATTGTTGAGGCACCCTTAATTGATGAAAAATATTTTAAATGTTAAGAATGTGTGTATCAAAATTTATGCCTCAAGACAAATATTTCTGGCTCAGATTACATCAAGATAAACTGTTTTCTATGATACACAAAAGATTTTCACCTGCCCCACAAAATATAGTGATAACATGTTACATATTACAATTTAGAAATATATACTGTATAGTATCCATCCTCCACATCTTAACACAATCTTCTTCCTTAACCTCCAGGACTTATAGAACTTAAGGTATCTCTTAAAAACTATTTTGCTGACTCCTTAGAACATTTGTTAATCCCTTAAGAGTATCTCCAGGCAAGAGATTTGAATTTGCTGTGTCTTCTTAGAACTTACTAGGATTTGATGCACCACTTTGCTTCCAACTTGGCAGGATTAAATGTAAGAGTGGAATAAGAAAGATTACCGTTTTCAGATTGTCCCTCACTGGCCCTGAGCCATTTGCACTTTGTTCGTAAATGTATATGTTTTATTTATATCTTTGCTCCCTTCAGATCTCTGTGTGTGTGTTTCTCTGTCACACTGTTCATTTAGGAATTTCCTAGTTATAAACAGCTTAAGACAACTTATAGGGAAATGTTGGCTGAATCGTTGTTGCTTAACATAGTAAGTCAGTATAGAGTAGACCTATTAAACAAGTAGGAATTTGGTGGGTGAACTCCTCTGTAGGTTCCATTGATTTAAATGGGCCTACTCTAGTTGTGACTTATTATGCTTAAGAAAATTACAATCAAAGTAGCCCCACTTGAATCAGTGGAGCTTACAGAAAAATTAGCTCACCAAATCGCCATTGATTTAACCATCAGTGAGCCAGCAATCTACTACACTAAGCCACAGGATTTTGGCCAATATGTTAAATATAGTCTACTATAAACAAGAAGTTTTAGAGTAAGAGAAGCTTTCTAATAGAAACTCTTTGTTTGTCTTACTCTCTTTATATTTTGAAGGCAGTGAAGGTGCAGTGTATCTCAGGATGTGTGTGTGTAGAGAGAGCATCTGTCTCTTTTTTTGGCTGACTATCTTTCATAACTATACAAGGCATTCCTTATTATGACTTTATGCAGAATGTCAAAAATTACTTTCTATAAATTAAGCTGATAATTTACAATCTTATCTTTTCAAGGGTTTTTTTAAGTTTGTTCTTGTGACTTCTAGTTTTATAATGAACTCCTTAGTGCTGACTCATTTAACCAGCAAATAGCAAACAGTGAATCCATTGTACTGAGTATAAGAAGGCCCATGATGGAAACAGCTTTTGAAGTAGCATGTAGGAGAGCTCCTTTTAAAAGAATCTGCAGTTTCATTCTGCCCAAGCAGTTTAACTCCTATTAGATGAAAAGAGCAGTCTGTTGCTAAATCACTGTGGACTTGCAGGGCCAACAGTTTATACTGCCCACTTTTTTCCCATTAGATTGCTATAGACAGAACTCTTTACCTCACCCTTCGGTTATGCTAATCTATCTGTGGAAAAGAATACAAAAAAATTTCCTTTTTAACATCGACCTGAGCTAATTTTAATAGGTTCTTCTGTTCTGGCTGACACAATGAAGACGTCAGACCTAAATACAATATATTTCCACCCCCTTTCCCTGCAACATTTGGAGGTAGGGGACACCCAGCTTCTCAGAACAGAGTTTTGGGGCCCACATCACAGTAAACAGCAGTGGGAAAGAGAGGGTGCTCTGTCCCTCATCAGAAATCCAGTGCTGAATTCTGCTCCCATTTCTTCAAAAGTGGTGAAATTCAGGTGATCAAATCTTGACTTAATAAACCAGGACATTGGTTTCTCCTCAGACAGTTAAAATTTGCTTCCTAAGTTTGGTTTGTTTAGAAGCCATTAACTGTAGTTCCCAGCTCACAGGTAGTGGAAACATCATACTTGGCTGCAGCTTTTTAGTTTGCTTTATGAGGCACATGGATGTTGGAATGAAGCAACAGCAAGGGGGCAGTTGGTGGCTGCAAAAACCTTCTACATATCCTGGTTTGCATGGTCACTGATCTTGATATTAAAGATTTTATTCATTTTTAAATTGGGGTGGCACCTTCCAGAGGCCTGGGGCCCATATATGGTGCCCCAAAAAGACATTGAAGGGCTACACATGACTCCCACAAATAAATGTCTTTTTCCAAATTAGGACGCTTCAAATGGCCAGTCACATCTTCCAGGAGTTTAGGGTCAGTCTGAGAGGGTGCTGTTGGGGGGGGGGAGGGCTGCATTTTGATCACCCTTTTGAAATCATTTATAATTGTATTTGAAGGCATTTATAATTGCATTCTGGAGACATGGAGGCTGCAGAAACGGTCTTGCTCCTCATGCCAGCTAACGTAATTGTTGTCAGAGGCAAACATGTCAGAAGGGCTAATCTGCATGGTTGTCGGAAATCTTTCTGGTACTCTGCTAAAAACCTAATAAAAGACTTCAAATATTTTTAAAAAATAAGTTTCAGATACAACAGCAGCACTGTCTAAATGTCACATTTGTTTGTTTGTTTGTTTATTTATTTGTTTGTTTATTTGTTTGTTTATTTATTTATTTAACTTATATGCCGCCCATACTACCCGAAGGTCTCTGGGCGGCTTACAGCATTTAAAATACAATAAAAAGGCAAAATAAAGGGACAAAATAATTAAAATGCAATTAAAGTGACAACCTTCACCAATACACAGATGGTTGTATTGCTATACACTGAGGTTTCTGTCTGAGAGCTTGGAAATACTACTTTTTTAAGAACTGACCGTCTAACCTTCACCAATACACAGATGGTTGTATTGCTTTACACTGAAGTTTCTGTCTGAGAGCTTGGAAATACTACCTTTTTAAACTACAGTTCCCACAATCCATCGGCCAGCATGGGCTAGTGAGCATCCTTGATGGGCAGGCAGGCATGCTGTGAAATATATACCCCCTCGTACTGAGCAATCTGAAGATAGCCCCACATCACCTCTTTGAAGGACCTTTTGTCAAAACTGGTTGTGATTTTTTCTTTATCATATTCTGAACAATGTTTCAGGAATTGGTCAGTCTCTTCTCGTCCAAATTTATTTGTTGCCTCACCGCTAGCCCCACATCATCTCCTTTGAAAGACCTTTTGTCAAAACTGGTTGTGATTTTTTCTTTATCATATTCTGAACAATGTTTCAGGAATTGGTCAGTCTCTTCTCGTCCAAATTTATTTGTTGCCTCACCACTATTTATACCAGGGGCTAGTTTGCACATCACTACATAGTCACCATGCTAGAAAATATCTATACCTTTCTGATTGTCTATCCAGATATTTTACACAATATTGTTGTATGAAGATTACACACACATCCATGTTCTATATAGCCTAATTTTGCATCTTATGGTGTTGTAACAGTATTGTTGTATGAAGATCACACACATCCATGTTCTGTGTAGCCTAATTTTGCATCTTATGGTGTTGTAATTGCCAGTGAGTTTTCAACACTTGGAATAAATACCTAGGTTTTAGCAAAACGTTCTCATATGCTAAAACTCTGATTTTTCCTTTACTTCTGTGCGTATGAAACACTTCTTAGGGTGGCAAAACAAAGTTTGTGTAGTTGCCATACTGTTACTTAATTCTGTGATTTAAACAACTATCTCTGGTGCTTCACACACACCCGTTCACTTTCCCTTTTAGCAATGGACAATCTTCAAGAGAGAGCTCTTCACATTCGGAAAGTACTCCTGACTTTGCCTAAAACCACTTTGATTGTAATGAGATACCTCTTTGCATTCCTCAATCAGTAAGTATTCTTGGGAAACCATATTGAGATCTGTATCTATGATTCGTAGGGGGATAAATAATAGGATCCTTGAAGTAGAGAAGACCTTATAGGTCACCTAGTTCAACCCAAGCTTGGTGAAGAAGGTCCAGAGCTAAATCATACCCAACAGGTGGCTGTGCAAGACAGCTCTGAATTTGTGAATAACAGTAGCAGTGCCAGCCTCATGAAACAAAAAAAGCACTCTATCTTCCCCTCTCTTTTTGTATCAACATAGATCGTAATGTGAATTTGCTGCTTAGTTTCAAAAGAGCTGGTGGTCACTAGAGCCCCGTGGTGCAGTAGTTAAGCTGCAGTACTGCAGTCAAGCCTCTGCTCACAACTTGAGTTCAATCCTGATGGGTTCAAATAGCCACCTCAAGAGTGACTCAGCCTTTCATCCTTCCGAAGTTAGTAAACTGAGTACCCAACTTGCTGGGGGGGGGGCAATTTGTTGTTTGCATAATTATGTTGTAAACTGCTCAGAGATTACTCTAGTACTATAAGGCAGTATATGTCGAAAAAGTAACAAAACTTTTTCCCAACACACTGTATTACAGTCTCCTGATGGCAAACATGTGAATAGGTTTTTACTCACAGAGGAAATACTTTGTAAGTAAGGGATGAATTAAGGAGGGAAAAGTAAACATACCAAAAAGAGAGAACTAAAGTTAAAAGAACAGATATAAGTATTCTATGCCAGATTTTCACCAGAATTTTGTACTATCTAAATTAACCAAAGCAGTTGTGTTCATCTTGCTAATTTGTGTAGCTGTGGGTATATGAGAACTATGTAGGGTATCTAAACTATGTTCTTTCCTCAGAACAGCTGTTCTGCATCTTGGAAATTCCCTGTTCCTGGTATTTCACCAGTCTTTCGTGTTCAGTTCTTATATCAAGGCTATCTAAAGGATCTGTATTCCATATACCCAACCAGTTCTATTTGACTGGTTATATCATCCAGTGAACTAAAATAAAAATAAAAAATTAGTGCTGTATGTCTGGGAGGAAAACAACAACTGCACAGTTTGATTCTCTAACACAGTGTGCCTCAGACTTGGATTCCCAGACCTTGTTAGACCTTAGTTTCCAGATTCTTAACCAGAATGGTCAGTGGTTAGAGATTCTGAGAGTTGTCCTCCATCAGCACCTTGGAGGTCCAGGTTTGGGAATCACTGTTCAAATGGCTTCTTTACTGAAGCTGTATATAATGAAAAGCCAGATTACAGTACTTTTCTTTTTCTGGCAGCATTCATTTTTCAGAAAATACCTGGATCATAATTAGAGATGTGCCCAAATTAATTTGGAACCTTCTATCCAAATATCACCACATAACAGCACAGTTGCCAGCCAGACTCTCTCCCCACCTCCTGGTCTGGTGGAACCATTCAACTTCCTCGCCCTGTTGTGGTCCTTTATTGCTGGCAGCGCGCCCATCTGGGCAGGAGCTTAGGCAGCCTGTCCCTGCCTCTGCAGATAGCCGTACACTCACTGAGGAGGCAGGCCGGGGATTCTCCCTGCACAGCCGATGAGTGGCTGTCTGTCTGTGGAGGCATGGACCGGCATCAACTGAGCTCCTGCCTGGTTTGGCACACTGCAACAAAGGACCCGACAGAGCGTGATGAAAGGTGAGTGGTTCTGATACTGGAACAGAATTAAACTAGATATTAGTTTGCAGGGAATACACAGGCCTCAAAGAAACTAGGCCCAGGACATTCACACATAATTAAGGCAAATAGAGAAACATTCACAGATAGTATAGAATTTCATTGTAACACTTTCATTTTGCCCATCTTCCTTTTGATCTGGCAGATGGCCTGGTACTGGAATGCAGGCAGGAGGAAACTAGCGATGACAGGCCAAAACATTCACACCAGGGAGCCGGAGAGTGAAAGCCATATATCAGGGCCCAGGAAGGCTACACATAAACATACCAAAAGATAAGAGGAATTGATACTCTTTTCTCCAGACATTTAGGTGCATCCTGGGCATAGGCCAAAGGCACATGGGGCACATAATATGCATATCTATAGGGAACCAATAGATCAGCGTAGTTGGAATCACTACCCAATGAAAGGCAGGATCCAAACTTTGGGTACAAATGACCAATAAAATGTAGTACTTTATGGCTCTTTGTATCATTATAGAACGTTTGTACACTGTATTTTCGGGGTCTTCTCTGCTTTTAAGAGAAGTCCCCAGCTGACCTTTTCTTTGCTGCATTGGACATTGCCATGGATTTTTACTGTTCACAGCAGTTCTTGGGCAGCTCAAGGACAAGGGCATTTTGGTTGCAAAGAAGGGTGCAAATGGAAAAAGTTGGAGGGAAGTGTGGCTTACCAGGCTCTTTACAGCCTTATGCTATGAACTGTGCGGCTCCATGGTTTTGCCACACTTCCATCTGGTTTTTGGCTGGGTATGAGGTGTTGCTGCTGCAACTGCTGTCCAGGCAGGATGCGTGGAACAAAATGCCAAGAAATAAATCTCTGGCAGCAGCATTCAATCTGCACGGAGAATAAACTTCCTTAAAAGGAAACTTACATAATGGTTCCTCCCTACAGACATACATGTGTGCACTTAATATATACTCTTATGTATTAATGAAAGGAATATTCAAAACAGTGAAAAAGGTGCCGGACACTTTTTAAAGAAATCAACATGTTATCTAGCAGGAAAGTGTTTTGCATATGTGCTGTGAATATGTATTCAGTTCAGATTGTGTCAGAGAAACACCATTAATGTAAGCAAAACTCCATTTGACCTAAGGTGTTAGATCCAAGAAAGCTCCTAACTCATTTGTTAAGTGCCACCAGTGTTTAGGGCAGTGATCATTCTTCCAAATTAGCTTCAAGACATTCTTGCCACATTAGATCAAATTTAAAAGGCTGAGCAGGCAGAGCTAAGCTCTTTTCCTTTTTTGCAATTCACTCTGTGCTGGGAGTTGTCCGTCTTGTGGCTTGTATCCACCCTTTCCCTCTCATTCCTTCCCCTGCAGTTTGTCTCAGTTCAGTGAAGAGAACATGATGGACCCCTACAATTTAGCCATCTGCTTTGGACCCACACTGATGTCAGTGCCTGAGGGCCATGATCAGGTCTCCTGCCAAGCACATGTCAATGAGCTCATCAAAACAATAATCATTCAACACGAGAATGTCTTCCCAGGACCAAGAGAACTGGAGGGCCCTGTCTACACCAAAGGTGGAAGCATGGAGGATTACTGGTACGGTAGGAGGTAATGGGGGAAAGTGAAGGGGGCGTGGCACTAATTATGGTCAAATGAGTGAAATGCATATTTTAGTGGTGCTGTCATTTCTCAGCTTTCAATGCTGATTCCAGAATCTTCCCTGTTTGTGAGACGACTGTTGCATAAAGACACAATGGATGTAGCTCAGAAATCTGAAGACAACTGCTTTTCCTACCCTAAACATGCAGGTCCTGAGTATTCAGAAAGGACTGAGCATGACTGGCTGTGCTTCATTATGCTGAAGGAAACTAATCCAGTCAGACTTGTCCATGAAACGGTCTGTAAGGATATTATGATAATTGCCTTAATCTGCTGGTGAAAGGTGCACAGCAGACACACCGGCTGAATTCATCACTGATGTTCTTCTTATTTTTCTGCATGTCCTGAGCAACTTTAACTTCAGAGACAAAGTCTCTAGAAAGCTGCAGCATGGTTTCATTTTCAGAGGAGCAGCAACAATACGAAGAACCTGAAACCTCCCTCTCTCTCCCAGCACCCAAGAGGCCCGGCTGCACATTCTCTCTGAAGCCAGCATCTGCAAATAATTCAGCTGCAACACCTCTTGTCATGGGGGGGGGAGCGACTTGTAGAGGGGGATGGGAACTGTGTACTCTTCCTCACTATTTCATGAAAAAATGCATGTCAAAATGGCCCCTGTGCTTGCCTTCACGGAGAGACCTCTAGTTTCTCATGCCAACTCAATCGTTGAATCCTGGGCTGCAAGGCTACTAAGTCTCTTCTTGCTGCATGCTGATTTCAAAAAATAAAGCCCTTTTACTTGCTTCTGATCTTAATTTTTGCAATTTAATGCCCCTTTCTATTGTTTGGTAATGAATGACTCCTCACCACAAGCCAGTTAAAAATTGATCACAATCTTATGACAATATTGGCTTCTATTAGTGCTTTTACTTAGAACCTACAGTAGTAGTTTCAGCTGGGAAAGAGGTCCAGGAACAAGGTTTCTTGCTATTATAACTAAAATTATGCAAAATAATGGAGGGAACCAAACTTACTGCGTCCAGGCAACTCCAAAGTGCATGGCAAACTCCAGAGTGCCTCACGAATGCAGATTTCACATTGCAAAAGACTTTGAGAAAATGGATAATTATACTATGGATGGATGGATCTTTCTTGTTGTACTGGAATAGAGTCAAATCATATGAAGGAATTTGCCAGTAAATACTAAGTACTGTATAATTGATGTTCTAGTTGTAACTTCCTTTCTGGAATATTATCTGTATGTTTTTCTTTTTATGAAAATAAACATAATTATATTTTTAAAAATTGAGAAATATAATCTGAGAATAATGTGTAGAGTACCTAAGATTACAGGTTTTGAATGGCTTTACAAACAAATGATTTATAAATGGCTCATTCAGAAGCAAGTTTTTTCCATTATTCTCCATGGATTAGACCAGGTTTATGTCTTGCACACCATTAAACTTCATCCATAGAACAATATGCATTAGTGAAGTTTTGCTGCATTCTTTTTTGTCAGAGTGTGTGGTTGCTTTCACAATGAATTCTTTTCACAAAGATTTGAATCTCGTCTAATCAAGAGGCAATTGCAAGATTACAATCTTATCACAAGGTGCTTCCTAAACTTTTCCATTGCATGGGGAGAAATGATGGCACAGAAAGTATTGTCCCTACAAGTTCCTGCTGCTTAGCAAGCCTGCTGGGTTAAATAATAATCATTGTCTACTCAAACTGACCCATTTTTATTGAAAGTGTATATTTGGTTTCTGAGACTGATGTCACTCATCCTTTTAAGTGCAACTGTTAAAAGTCCCTTAGATGTTGCAATTCTGTTGTTAGTTTCTCTTTTCTTTTTGTTTTAAGCACATCCATTCTCTCAGTTATGCTTGGAGTCAAACAGCTTTCCCCCCTTTGCTATGAAGTGACTTTCTAGTCACTTCAGATTTCCATCTGCCCTGCAGTCTTCTGCGTTGTTCCACATTTGGGGACAAACTAGTGAGGCATTTTGATGTAAGAAAATGTTTGAAAATGAGTTGACCTACACTCCAGAAACTTATTGTAGTGTTCTCAAGGCCACATGCAGTTTCCCAGCACAAAATGCCTGTGCCTGGGGCAGCAGGCTTACAGAAAAAAAAACATTTTAAAATGTGAAATTGCCCTATGTATTTTCCCTTAAAGCAGAGTTAAGAATCCAGAGTGCAGGGCACATGCAGCTTATAAGGCACTGGATGTTTTAGATTCACACAAATAGATTTTACAAAACCAGAAGCGGTCTACTTCCATTTTTTTTTAGTGCTGGAGCGCCTGTGGTGGGTTTGGGGACCTCCAGAGCTTGCCTGTTGTCCTGTATCATCTTTTTACAGTCTTTATTAAATTTTAGCTGTCAGTTTTTAAATATCTTGATGTGACAATACATGAAGATTGTTCAGCACCTACCAAGATACTGATTATGGAAGCAGCTAAAATGTTGCAGGTTTATATGAATTACTGCTAATGGAAAGCTTGCTTTTCTCCAAAATGAGTCTGCATTCAAACATGAACATTTGAATTAAACAAAAATCAGTGTCTGTTAATTCCTACATTATGAAACAGATCACAGTGTGAACTGTTTTTCTTGGTTTTGGTTTTCCTGATAGCTCCAAATATGCTCAGAAATTCATACAAATGAGTTTTTAATTTGATATTGGTGCTACCATAGTAGGACACAGTTGAATATGTGGAGATGATTAAGTTGTCAAGCCTGTCTACACACTTACGTCACAGTAAAACACAAGACTCAGTCTAGTATGGTATAGGTGTGGTGCCCATGCACAGAAGGATTCCTCTAGGATATAACAGAATCCTCTCTTTCTCACTGCTGCACACTGACAACATGCTCGGTACTTACTGGATGTGGATGGGTGGAAAATCTACGTGTGCTTTCTATCCCAAAGTCTCTGTTCTCTACCCTGCTCCACTGTGTGAAGTACGATAAGCTCATATTTCATGTCCTTGATCAAGAAGAGAGGACGAAGTCTGGAGCAGAATACAGGAGGTGTACACAGACTTCTTTGTCCCTATCGTTATAGGGAATGAATGTGAATATAAAAGATGAACAGAGACAGAAAAAGAGAGCCATAAAGGGAACAGAATAGAGGGTGTTGGATCTTCAATGGACTGGATAAATCCCACAATAATTATCATTTTATGTAACTAACATTTTGAGCTTTGTTGCATCTGTTTCTAGTGTTAACTGAAGCAACTTGTTAGGGACCAAAGGTTAGGCATGGGAATAGAAGGAGCTGGAATCAAGCAAGAAAAGGGAACTTACGTTTCTGGATGATGAGTGTACTTTTGACAACATGGGTCTGAAATCTGAACCAAGGATTTGTATGACTGTACATGCTTGAAGTTTTGATCTTTTCTACCATCGTGGGTATGGAAAGAAACCCATCAGGAGGCAGACTGAAATACTCCCTGTTATAATTTTATAAATGTTCCCTGCATCTCACAGAGTCTAGACCAGGGACTCCCAACTAATGGGAAGGTTCCTCCCTGCAAAAAGGTTTTCTGACCCACTTCAGAACACCTACATCTAGTAGGTGATGTGTGTGATGTGCAGGATTTCCCTCCCTGTGCAAAAGTAAGATTGAAAAGAAAAGTTGCTGTAATCATCACTCAGACCACAACATTTTAGCACTACCTCAACTACATGCAATGCACGTCTCTACCAAACACTGCCTTCCACAGACAGTACGTATTGAATGACAGGGTATCTGAAGTGTCCCATCGTATGCCATTAAGATAACCTTCTCTGTATTTCTGCTTCTTATTTGCAGTGAAAGCCCTCATGGGGAGACAGCCTCCACAGAAGATACTACTCAGGACACAGCCCCTGACCACCATACAAGTGACGATGGTAGGACATCTCTTAATGACAGCTCAGAAGAAGCAATACCTGCAGTGATATTGGAGCCCTTCTTGGTTCATGGAGTGATAATTAATGGACAAAGACTAACTGGCTGCTCTAGAAAGAAGAGGAGAACCAATACCTCCTTTTGATTTTCGTTTCCAGCTGTCTTTGAATGCAAGTCCTTTAGAGTGAACCAGCAGAACATTAGGATTCAATGTCTTCTGCCATCCTAATGGCTAAATTCTAAAAAAATTATATTAGAGTGTCCACTGATTTTCTAAAAGAAATATAACTTTCCATTCCAAGGGATAAAATGCAAAAAGAAGGCATGTTTATTAACTGTTTCCAAAAACTTAACAATCCAAAGGATAACAGGGAACTAGAATAGTAAGCTACAAGCATCTAAGCAGCACAAACTGGAAGGAAAAAGGCCTACCTGGGTTGAAAACATTAGTGAATGTTTTGTCAGCCTGATTAGCACGTTGAAAATTGATTGTTTGAATTTTCTTTCTATACATTTCTTTATAAAGTATGATTTAGACAAATCTTTGCTTCTGGAAAATCCAGTACAGTATTGATATTTTAGTTCAGCAGACATAACCATCTGGCCTTTGGCCAATCTGTGTCCTGTAATCTCTGGAGTTAAGCTCTTTGCCTTGGTAAGAGGGGATCCTGAGGTTGATGCATGCAGCAGCAGCGTTGAAGGCTCCTTGCTTTCTGGAATTTTCATCCTGTTCATCCCATACTTCCTCATGCTAGCACAGAAACAACCCGGGGTCACCCAGATAATAACTGACCTGGTGATTTCCTACTATTCCTTACCATTGGCCATGTTGCCTGGATGATTCCATCCATATTGAGGAACTCAAGGTTGGGAACCACTGTATTGACCCTCCCAACTTCCCAGAAGCCAAAAGCTATCTTTCAGAGGGAAAGTATTTTATTTTAGGATTGGGTTCACTGCAAGGCTGTAGAAGTTATAATAGTTTTGATGGCTTCCGAGAACATCAAACTTATGCCAGATGAGTTCTCATGTGCTGCTGGATGTTAATAGTTTACACATGGAGAGAGGAATATCATTATGTGTTGTAGAATTAAAGAGTGAAAGGGAAGCATCTATTTGCAAATAAATGAAAGGAATTGGAGCAAAAAAGTGGGTTTACCAGCAAGGAGGCCTGAAAAGGATTTTGTGAACAACTGGTGTTATGTCTGTTGTACATGCAAAGAAAAGCAGGAAACTGAGGGGGGAAATAGATGTAGCTAAGCAAAATATAACCTTCCCTCCTCAGAGAGAGAAAAAAACAGTCAGATATTTATTACAGAACTGTCTATGGCATGATTCCTCATTGTTAAACACTGGCTTCTCTCTGTAGATTTTACTCTAACTCCCTGCCTTAAAATTATGCAGAATGGTTCACCTGCTTCTTCCAGCTGCCAGCTCTGACACTAGCCATTTGACTTGGGGTGGGAAAAAGTGTGGTAGCTGTGTTGGGTTATATAATGTGCTTCTGACTGGCCTTGTCTTTATAGTGAGCTGCGTTTGATCCATAGGTTCGCCACTGACAATAATATGTGCATCTTTAATTTCAAAAAAAAAATTTAAACTATAAAACTCTGTTTTCTTTTTCTTGTAGAATGTGAACCCATTGAAGCAATAGCCAAATTTGACTACACTGGCCGAACAGTCCGTGAGCTGTCTTTTAAAAAGGGGGCTTCCCTCCTGCTTTACCAACGGGCCTCTGATGACTGGTGGGAGGGTCGTCACAATGGAATTGATGGTCTGATCCCGCATCAATACATTGTTGTTCAGGACACGTATGTTATCTTCTAATACTGTAGGGGCACAAAGCTTGGAGAAAGAGTTTTCTGTTTGTAAAGGTTGGAGAAAAGGGATGTTTCGAAACATCTATTTAGATGTTAGGAACTTCAGTTATTCCATTTATTCCATTTAGATTCCTGAATGTATTTATTTATTTATTATTTATTTATTTGATTTGTATCCCGCCCATCTGGTCAAATAGACCACTCTGAGCGGCTAATGTAGTCCACAAAATTACTTTAGATAGAAAAACTCAGTTTTTCAGGCAGCTTTTTGCCTGCCCTGGGGATATTCCCTCCCTTCTTTACCAATAGGTTAGGCACATAAATCGCATGTTGTAACATGAAGCAAAAAACAGTTAGACTAATAAGATTGATACAGAGATAGTAAACTGCTGTGGTACATCTTGAGGATATTACATGGGGTTTGGGGTTGTGACTTCTTTTATTTCCTAGTGAGGATGGCATATCAGAAAGATCAAGTCCAAAATCTGAAATAGAAATCAATTCTGAGCCACCTGAAGAAAAAGTGACAGCCAGAGCTGGTTCCAGTTGCCCAAGCGGAAGCCATGTCGCAGATATTTATCTTGCCAATATTAATAAGTAAGTGTCAATATCAGTATTCCCATTTTGTACAAATGGTTCACCTATTGTTCAGCCAGATAAATTTTCCAAAGAAATTAATTTGTAAGATATCATTGTAATATTTCCTCAATCAGACAGGAGAATGTCATCTTCCGTTACCTTTTGATTATCATAATGAATTTTACAGTGGCTTAGTTTGTATATTAAGATACAATTTTTAGAGTCTGGAAATCCACCACCTTGTTTTATTGGTTCACATGCACACAACTTAATGTTATCTGCCATCAGTCTAGAAGGAAGTCCTTCAACATTGTTTTCATTCTTACACTGCCAGTGTTTCCAGTTCCATTCCATTTATATACATTTCCCAGTGTCAAGTACCCTAAATTGCATACATGAAAATTGCCTTGCAGTTGACTGTCAAGATTTCGGTAGAGACAAATAATGAGCCCACAATGCAATTTATTTCAAAATACAGTTGTTCCTTTTTGCAAAATCATTCTTCTCTAATGTGCACCATAAAAAGGATTGAATATTCTGCTCGTTCCCCACCACAGTCCATGTATTCTGAATTTGTAATACTCTCAGAGGCACGTGCTCATCATGTCATCCAGTCTTGGATTGGGGTACATATTTTTATAAAGACAGTATTTCTCAATCTTAGAGCATTTAAAAAATGGCTTAAAATCCCTGATTTGCTTTGATTTATTGGTGTCAGCAATTCGTTTAGCTCCTCCTTCCCCCCTCTACTGTTGTTCCAAAACTCTTTAGGTGGATTGGGCTGAGCAATGGTGGCTGGTCCAAGGTCACCCACGTGCTCATCATGTACCCCAATCCAAGACTGGATTGGGGTACATATTTTTATAAAGACAGTATTTCTCAATCTTAGAGCATTTAAAGAATGGCTTAAAATCCCTGAATTGCTTTGATTTATTGGTGTCAGCAATTCGTTTAGCTCCTCCTTCCCCCCTCTACTGTTGTTCCAAAACCCTTTAGGTGGATTGGGCTGAGCAATGGTGGCTGGTCCAAGGTCACCCATTAAGCTTCATAGCCAAGAAGGAATTTGAGTCTGCATTCTCCCCTGCCTGAATTAACAGGGTAACTAATGCACCATACTACCTTGTTTTAAGAAGCAGAGTGGAAAAGTGGCTTTATTTCATAAATTGGTATGTGTGTGACTTCAGTATTCCCTGTGTTGAGATACAATATCTGTGTCACTTAAATAAGGTAATAAATAAATTAAACATTTCCTGTGCTGCTTTTATGATGACAGGCAAAGAAAGAGACCAGAGTCTGGCAGTATACGAAGAGCTTTCCGTCAAAGTGACAGCCATGGACTGCCCAGCTCACTAGGAGACTCTGCCCCACCAGGGGCTGTGGCCAGTTCTCGTCCTTCCTCACAACCCATTATGAGCCAAAGTCTCCCAAAGGAGGTACCAGATGCATGCTCTGTCAGTGGCCATGGAAGCCTCAATTCTCTCAGCCGGCATGCGTCTCTGAAGAACAGGATAGATAGCCCCCACATCCGGAAAAATGTGACCACAGCAAGGTCAAAGAGCTTTAATAACCACCGACCCATGGATCCTGAAGTCATTGCACAGGTAATCGGATTCTAGGCCAGTATGACTTAAGACTAGTCTTAATTTTTATATAGTACAAATCAGTTCCTCCACCTTATGCTGCCCATTCTGTTAGAAATTCATCTTTATGAATTTTGTTGTTGAATATTCACTGATATTCATCTAATACACAATGTATTTTCCAGATAGTCTCTAAATATTGTGATTTTGGCAACAAATGTTATTTGATGTCAATATTTTATATTTTGCTTCAGTATTTGCTTCAGATCAGGAAACGTCCCCTTAGAAGTGATCAAAACAAGTCAAGTTTTGAATTCTGAGGTAACCTTTGATTTTGAATTTCAAATTCAAATCTGAATTTTTAAAATAAAAAGTTAAATTTCTGTTTTTCATTTCTAAAACATCAGCTCAGCTTGTGATTGCTGCATGTCTAGTTAATCTAAAAAGCATGAAACAACTCCTGCCTTCTGTTAGTGGGGCCTTTAGATTCAACGAGTTTGGCAAGGTTCCATATCCATATTCTGGACAGCTTCAGACATGCATTTTATTGAGAACACTGGGTAAATGGCCACATTTTGGTCTTAGACCTTGAGGAAAAATTAATTCTTTCTAATTACTTGCATGACTGTGCAGAACAAGTTAAAGCTCAGGGACTGATAAAGCCCTGAGAACAGAGTCCCCTTCAGCCCTCATCAGGACCAAATACTAACGCCAGAATGTTTTTCCCTGTTAGTTTCATCAATTATATGAGCAATTCTTTTAGGTAGTATAGAATTGCGAAGTGTAGAGAACTGGCTATATCTCCTGCTGCTAACAACTGAATTCCTACCAGGTAAGCAGGATGTAACTTCCTTTCTTGCCTTCCACCACTGAAGTCTTTGAGAGTTTGTGAGGTTCTGATTATTTACAAATATGAATGTTGAAAGGGACCATAATGTATACTTTGCTCATTGGATTTTATACATCCAACGTACTACCTTTTATCACCTGGCAGTTTCCCTTTGGTGAGAAGGGCAAGTAAATGCACTTTTAAAAAAATGTTATATACTTTTCCTACTAAGTGGTCAGTAGCACCAACATAATTATTCTCATTACTTCCAATTTATGGAGTTATGATTTCATCATTGTGTGACTTTTCCATCTGTCTTTGTTCAGTCTTGTAATTTTGCTTCCTTCGAATCATTTGAAAGAAATGTTCAAGATTTTGTTGAAAAAGCACCACATACAATGTTAATAACGTATGCTTTTCAAAGTTTACATATCTGTTATACTGAACAGCCACCTAGAGTGGACGAGTCACCCAGATAGGCAGGGTATAAATCAAATCAAATAAATGAATGAATGAATGAATGAATGAATGAATGATCTGTGCAGGAATTGCATGGTGACTTTAACATTTCTAACACAAATAAGAGAATAATAATGTTCCAGTGCTGTTAGGACTACACCGTTCAGGATGTTTGAAAAGCTGGGTGTTCAGTGTCAACCTTTTAGCCTTCAGCCAGTTCCGTGACTTTGTTCACCAGGGTTCAAGGATCACAAAAGAACACATCTAAAACAAAAGCCAGATGTATGGGATATTTTGCTGGGTTTTGTGTGTGTGTGCATGCATGCACTGCTATAGCCTAACATGGGTGTAGACTTTTGGACCAAGCCCCATACAGTGAAGAATTTATCTCCTTTTTCTGGACATTTTTCCCCACTTCACAGGAGAAACAACTTTTAAAATGCTCACCATCATGTTATTCCACTTGCTTCTCTTCACCTTTAGATACAAGTATGGTTTTCAAAAAGACTATATTCTTCTTTCATTGGCCAAGAGTTAAACATGAGCCTGTGTTGAACAGATCATACTGATTTTAACAGGGAAGCCATGTATTCACTGTTTGCTTGAGGAGCTCTTTTCAGAATCATCCATCAACTCCCTGTCTCCATTCCCCTAACATGCCTCTATTCACCTTGTAACACTTGAGCACTAAGAGCAAATGAACTGGCTATGATTAATCCATCCATCCATCTAAGTTTGCATATAGAACTGAGCAGTTCTGAATTGTATCAGAAATCATTTCTAAAACAGGTAGGGGGTTGAAATATCCTTCCTGTCTCCAGAGTCAGCAGTTATCCATTTTGTCAGGACTTTACTTGACAAGGTCTCTGCTACTGGCTTCCTCTGTAAATGTACTACACTTGGATCCTTGGCTAGGTCTTCTGCCTTCAGTCCATGATGGTTCATTAAAAACTCAGAAACACTTCAGTCTCATTCCAATCTCATTCCAATCATGTCATTTCAAGAGATATGCTTGAAGGAAGGAAAATGTCACAAGGCTATCAGGTACCAAGGGAAGGCTCCTGGAAAAGAAGGGCTTTCAGTAGTAACAATGCTTGCATTTAATACATGGCTGAAGCTATAGTCTTTAACTCTCTGTACAAATATTATATTTATTGTTTCTCCTTCCATATATGGCAGGCTTGGGGCAAATGTCTGCATATCTGTACACACACATACATACACACACCACAAATTCTAAAAGAAGGTGGAAAAAGTATGTAAAATATCAGAATAAATATCCACTAACTACAATCAGATTCGAAAGAAATAGCCATGTTCTTTTTTGTGGCCTCTGTGAATGCACACATATGGGTATTGTCTGCGTCTGCGCTGACTCTCTCGGAAGATTCTAGAGCTAAAAGTAACAATTTATGGTGTGATCCTCCACGAGGTATATGCTCCTCCCACCCACCATCTTCCCCAGTTCCTTTTTTCCGCCAAGCTGAACGGTTCTCAGGAAAATGCCTTTGGCTATTTTTCTAGGCTCCTTTGATCTTTTGTTGTTTATCTTTACTTTAAATTACCTACTTAGTGATCCTCCGTGTCTTTTGTTTGCCTAATCAACTTCCCGCACTCTTTTTATTCCCTTCTCTTTTCCCCTCCCCCCCCCAGTTCTTTATTTATGGCCTCACTGTCTCCTTTTAAAAGGTGTACAACCTGTGCGAATAAAATCGCACTTTCAGACAGTCGTAGCCAGTGCCTTTTTTGTTTGGGTGAAGAACATCCTACCCATTTATGTCCTGCTTGTAAAAATTTAACCAAGCCGGCACTTAAACAGAGGCTCCAAAGACTNNNTCTTCAGAAGCGGCTAGATCTCCTGCCCTTTCAGCCGATAGACTTCCAGCGGGCCAGTCTACTTCTGACTCTACCTGTGTGCTACCTGTTAAGGACACTGCTGAGAAAGCAAAATCGTTTGGTAAGCACAAGCTGCCCTCCTCTCAGAAGTCTCGAGTGCATGATCCCAGCTCGAAGAAAAAACCTAAACCTGCCCCTAAGAAGCCCAGAAAGGATAGGCTTCCCCAAGTGGAGCCCCCTCAGCCTTCTCTGCCTTCCCCTATCCTCGAAGAATCATCCAGGGAAGCCCCTGACTTGGCCTCGGACGGAGACGATGCCCATGATGTTGCACCCCCCCACGATGCTGCCCCAAACTCCGAGCATTGGCCTCAATGCGGCTGCGCCACAGTCCAGCCCGGCCTCAGCCCATTCCAACCCTGATTCAGGGCGGGCAGCTGAAAGCTCGGCATCTGATCTGGAGGTTCCCCCCTTGCCTCCATGGAAGAGAACGGAGAAATGAAAGCACCTCTCCCCACCGAGGTCGAGTCCATCGCAAGCCAATTTATGCTCTTTTCCAATGGTACCATACTTCATATGGCAAACCTGGTACGAGAGGTACCAGCCTGAACAGGCTAAACAGCCCCAAACGACACCGGAACTCCCCCATGCTGTTCCCTTTCTGGACTCAAACCGCCTCTGTGCGACCACTTTGGCCCCGACAGTTTTGGCTCCGTCCGCACGTCCCCTCGTCCCGTCTAAGTGAATGCAAGACAAAGTTCGGGAGGCCTTAACACTACATCCCACACCCTCAATGCCAGACCCGGTAACATCTCAGGGCCCTTTCAAATACGTGCCGACTCAGGGGCATCAAGCTCCCCCGATGGAAGGCTTTGTTCCATCGGACTACCCTTCGTCTCCAAGCTCCCCTGCATCTTCGGAGGCACAACACTCTGAGTCCTCCCATGAGCCCGACCTTCCCCCTCCAATCCCAGATATTGCTTAGGATGCTTCCTCTTCCTCAGATGACTTCTCCTCCTATTCGACTCTCATTTTTCAAATGGCACAAGCCCTAAATCTCGACACTGAACAGCCCTCGTCCGCTGATGCCGACCCAGTGTTCAATGATATTAATAAGGAGCGTCCCGTTCCTGTGAGTCTCTCCTTTAAACAAGTCTATCCTTCAGCTTATTAAGGACACTTGGGGAAAACCTCCTTCTATCATGCAGATCTCTCGCCGCACCGATGGCCTCTATAGGACCCACAGTGTCGACGCGGAGTTTCTCAACAAACATCCAGTGTCTAACTCTATCATCGTCGAGTCTAGTCAGGCCCGAACCCAGATTAAGTTCCAAACCTACCCTTGCCAATAAGGACGGTAGAAAATGGCGAAACAAATCTACACTTTGCAAGCCTTCTTACTCAGAAGCATCAGTTACCAGGCAACTATGGGCGGTTTTCAGCATCATCTTTGGAATCAAGTCTTTCCTTTCATTGAGTCGTCTCCTGAGCCCATGAGATCCGACCTCATCAATATCCATTCACAAGCTGTTTCTCTTGCCAAGTATCAGAGGATTGCAGCGCGACACTCTGCTGAGGCCGCTTCTCTTTGGTCACCTCTATTTCTATTCAACGCCATGCCTGGCTCAAATCCTCCACAATCTCTGATGACACCAAGTCAAGAATTGAGGACTTGCCTTTTGATGGTGCCGGCCTGTTCAACTCCACGACCAACAACGCTATGGAATACTTCCATAAGAAGCGCAAAACTGCGCGCTCTTATTCTGCCCAGCCGTCTTCCTACTATCAACAGCCCTTCTACTGTTCGGGCCGGTTTCATCCTAAGCAATATCAAAATCAAAGGTTCCAACCTTATAGACAGTATCGCCGCCAGCAAACCGACAGGTCCTTACCTGCCCCC